GAGCATACACACACACACACACATATTTTCCTATATGGATTTTTAAAAATGTGTATCTTTATTGATTTCAGAAAGAAGGGAAAGGTAGAGAGATAGAAACATCAGTGAGAGAGAATCATTTATTGTCTGCTTCCTACACTCCCCCTACCAGGGATCGAGCTCTCAACCCCAGCCTGTGCTCTGACCAATAATTGAACTGTTACCTACTCATTCATAGGTTGACACTCAACCACTATTAATCTTTTAATAACCGAAATTCTATATATTTGGTTATCAATAAAATTTTATCCTATATAATAAAAGCCTAATATGCTAGGTGTCCAGTCATCCTGTTGGCCATTCAACCAATCAAAGCATGATGTGCTAAGTCTGCACAACTAGTCGCTATGAAGTGCACTGACCAGCAGGATAGATACTCCAATTGGTAGGTTAGCTTGCTGCTGTGGCCCGGCTGACCCACAGGTTGAGAACCACTAGCAGGGTCACCTAACACCATAGGAAAACACAGATATTTACATTACGATTCACTAACAGTAGCAAAATTACAGATATGAAGTAGCAACGAAAATAATTTTATGGTTAGGGATCACCGCAACATGAAGAACTGAATTAAAGGATTGTGACATTAGAAAGGTTGAGAATCACTGCTCTCACTGGTTTGGCTCAGTGGATAAAGTGTCGGCCTATGGACTGAAGGATCTCAGGTTCGATTCTGGTCAAGGGATAGACCTTGGTTGTTGGCATATCCCCAGTAGGGGGGGTGCAGGCGGCAGCTGATTGATGTTTCTAGCTCTCTATCCCTCTCCCTTCCTCTCTGTAAAAAAAAAAATCAATAAAATTATATATTTTTAAAATTACAACTAAGCTCAGCTGGTCCAATTCCCAGTCAGGGCACATGCCCAGATTGCCAGCTTGATCCCCAGTTGGGGGTGAGCAGAAAGCAGCCGGTCAATGATGTTTCTGTCTCTCTATCCTTTTCCCTTCCTCTCTCTCTAAAATCAGTAAAACATATTTTTTAAAAATTACAATTAACATACAGAACAGCCATAATTCAGAACTTTCTAAAGGCTGGCTGAAAGGAAGTTCTACAACAAGAAAAGGAGAAAGAAAGCCCTAAGAGGGATGGAGGCTTGAAACAGGCTGGTCCAATATCTATGTGTGGCATTTGTTTAATCAGGAGACATACTGTGGCTGCAGAGACCTGCCATGGTTGCCACTATATTCCAAGGGATTGAAATACAGTGGCAACCATACTTTGGTAAAAAACTGCTGTTTGAATTTTAACCCTGCTAAGTCCGGCTCCTGCATCTGATTAAAACATAGGGTACTTACCTCATCATCTAGGTGGGAGACCTGGAGGCTAAGGCAATTTTCCCTTGCCTGGGACCAGGACCACAGGAGATTGATTCCCACTGACTCAGTAGCTTCAGGGATAGAAACTGTAGATAACCTTTAGAGACTAACCGCTGAGCTCTGCTTCTGTGTTATCGGCAATCACAAGATAGGGCCACATTCCAATGTCCAGCAAGATGTGACTAGCAGCGGCCTTGCGGGCTGACCCCAGTTTATGGAATGTAGTCTTTAGGATTTAGAATTTAGAACAAAGGAAAATTCCTGTGGTTTGAACATTTAAAAGGGACTGCCTACCCCTGTAGTCCTGTGGAGTCCACCTGCATGTGGTGCTCTCCCGGCTGTCCTGGCCAGATATTTCAATAAATCCTTGCCTGCTTTTTTAAAATTAATCATCAGCCTCCAGTGGTCTTATTTTGAACCCAGGATTCGACCCACAACAGGGATCCCAGCCCCACACCACAACCCCCAGCCCAGGGTTCCAGAACTGGGAAGAGAAGTCCCCATAACTTCGGCCTATAAAAACCAGCAAGGATTGTGGCTAAGTAACCCAGAGGCTGCTGGAAACTCAGGTAGTTTCTTTTAAAGGGCCAGCACATGAAATTACAGGGACTTGCTTTCTCTGAGTTTCAGCCCAGGGGCAATGGCTGGGTAGGCAGACCCAGGGACATACAGGAAGCAACTGGATTGTCTGGCATCAAAGCAAGAACTCCTGGGTGGCTTTCAAGGGTCATTGTTCCTATGCTAAGACCTCTCCAGTCTCAGAACTGACTGTTGGCTATCTTTGAGTTTCTAGCACCTTGGCCCACACTGTTCTCTCCACCCTGGTGATTCTCTGAGATTCCTCCCCATTCAATTTGCCGACCCATCCAAACTATTTGTAGTGGCTTTTCCATATGAATGGCCTATCCTGGCTCAGGCTTCAGGCTTTCCTAATATCTCTCAAATAAGCAGCAGCTGTTTGAGCATGCCCCAGGCCTATCAATAAGAGTCTCAGAACCACTTAGCCTTGCCTGGGTACTTCCAAATCCTACTCAAGTAGCAGCCATCTGTATGAGGCTTGGTAGTTCATGCTGAATGGCCCCAGGCAATGGCTGACTTTGCACCTCCCTGGAGGCCCCAGAGCCAGGTATTCCTGTGGGCAGCCTCAGACCATGCAATATTACACCTTTACACATCCACAAAGCAACACACTCAAGGGACAGATGCACCAAAGTCCTACTGAAGCAAGTCCTGCTCCATAGGGATGTCTCTTGCACAGCAGCTCTTTCATTGTAGACACAGATGGTCCATTCCTTCTAGTGATGCCAAAAGCAATCAAGGCGCAACTACAAGACTGTACTGTATGTGTATAGAGCTCACAAAGGGGTGCACCTGCAGTGCCCAGCTCAGGTGACTGGGGAGGCTGAACTCTTACACCTTATAGGACACCTACTATACCAGGCCACTCTACCAATTGCAGGAGCCATACCAGCTCTACATAATAACATGAAGAACAGAAGTCTCCAGAAAAGGAACTAAATGAAATGGAAGCAAGCACACTATGAGATAGAGTTAAAAACAATGGTTATAAGGTTGCTCAAGGATCTTAATAAGAGCTTCAAGGGACTTAATGAGACTTTCAAGAATCTTGGTGAGAATTTCAATGAAAAAGGACCAATTGGAAATTAAGCATACACTAATTGAAGTAAAGAATAATTTACAGGGATTACAGAGTTGAGGATTCCGAAAATCAAATCAATAATTTGAAATATGAGAAAAGGAAAAAACCACCTAATCAGAAGAGCAAAAAGAAATGAAGCAAGCCAACTACTGAATACAGAGTTCAAAACCATGATTAGAAGGTTACTCAAGGATCTTCATAAGACTTTCACGGATCTTAGTGAGAACTTCAAGAACCTTAGTGAGAACATCAATAATGTAAAAAAGAACCAGTCAGAAATGAAGAATACACTACCTGAAGTTAAGAATGATTTACTGAGAACCAACTATAGAGTAGATGATGCCAAGAATTAAATCAAGCAATTTGGAAGATGAGGAAGCAAAAACCTAATCAGAAGAGCAAAAAGAAAAAAGAATCCAAAAATATGAATAGAGTATAAGGAGCCTCTGGGACAACTTCAGGTGTACCAACATTCCCATCATGGGAGTGACAGAAGGAGAGGAGAGGGAGCAAGATATTAAAAATCTATTTGAAAAATAATGACAGAAAACTCCTCCTACCTGGTGAAAGAAATACAATTAAGTGCAGAAAGTCCCAAAAAAGAGGAAGAGGCACACACTAAAACACATCATAATGAAAATGCCAGAGGTTAAAGACAACAAATCTTCAAAGCTGCAAGAGAAAAGCAGTTAGTTACCTTCAAGAGAACACCCATACAATTGTCAACTGATTTCTCAAGGGAAACTGCAAGCCAGAAGGGAGTGGCAAGACATATTCAAAGTGATAAAAAGTAAGGACCTACAACCAAGATTACTCTACCCAGCAAAGCAATAATTTAGAATTGAAGGTCAGATAAAGAACTTACCATACAAGGAAAAAGCTAAAGAGTTCATCCGCACCAAACCAATATTACATGATATGTTAAAGTGTCTTCTTTAAAAAGAAGGAAAAATAAGTTAAGAAACATGAACAATAAAAAGGAAATAAATACATATCCATAAAGAATTGAATCTAAAAGTCAAAATAAATGAACAAGAATTTGTTATACATTTATTCTTGGCTGCAGGGTGGTTAGGAAGAACTGGCTAGAGAATAGAGGTTGGGTCAGCCAACCAACAGTGTCAACCAAAGTCTGATTGACTGATTTGTAATCTCAGCACTGTCATTTATTAGCTGTGCTTTTTCCCCATGTATTCAGTCAGTGGTAGTTTCCTTTTTAATTTTTACTAGAGGCCTGGTGCACAGATTCGTGTACTAGTGGGTCCCTCAGCCTGGCTTGCAGGGATTGGGCTAAAAATGGCTCTCTGACATCCCCTTTTATTATATAGGATATACAATGAGTGGCCAGATTATTATGCGTTCAGAGGTCATAATAATCTGGCCACTAAGTGTAAATAGATAATTGAAAATATTCTTCATAATGTAAAATGTGTTTCCTAATTAACTGATAAAATAATCCAATCTTATCCTGTATATAATAGGAAAATGTATGTACATTAGACATGTTTATAGTAGGTTTGGCTGTTTAAGTTTATAAAATTTACAGCATTGATTAGTAAATCTGTTTGTTTCTAGGTTTAAATTTTATCAGTGATTTTGAACACTGAACATTTGAACATTTGAACATTTGCTATTATAGTCAATCAGAATATAATTGTTATTTTGGATTAAATGGTAATATTGTTTTATTTGGTTATTCATAGTCTTTAATGTCTTTTCTTGAGTGGTATTTCTTGATTATAATTTGTCTCCTAGTCCTTTTTCCTCCATCTACAGATGTATTTTCCAGGGGGAAAGTGGTATGTTATGGTAGTCTATATAAAGCTGTTGTATACAATTCTTTAGCATTAAAATAAAAATCTACCTGTGCAGGATGGACAGTATAGACCTTATATGTACTTCTCTTATCTGTCCCAAATTTTAACTTTTAAAGTTTTCTCTTTGTTTTAAAAAGAGGAGTATATAATTTAGTCATTGCTTTTTTTAGTACTTGGTTCTGAAGCTTGAAAGGCCTGCTATAGTCCAGAATATCACATTTGGAAAATATGAGAAAACGCATGTCTGTAATTTGAAGAAATTTAAAGTCTTTGGTGGAATGAATGAAGAAAATATGACAGAGCTATTGTCCAGGTGAGTTATGATTATGGGGTGGAAAGGGTTGTCTTCTAAACAAGGTGCAGTCTTAGATTACTCTTTTTGTATCTAAATCTGCATGGTTTGATTTTTCTTTCAAGGGAGGAAAGAATATTTCCACTATTCTATTTTTAGTGACTTATTTTAGTGTTATGGCTTGAGTTAGCATTTTTTTAAAAAAACAAACCAACAAACAAACAAACCCACACCAGATTCTAGTTAATGTTATTAGAGAATTTCATGGGTGGATTTCTCCAATGTTAGTGGAAGTGGGATTCTTATGATATCTTGAGAAAATGAGTTAAGACTCCCAAGGGAGAATGAGATTTGGTAGAAAGGCTTATTTGCATGAAATTATATCCCTCAGTTTCCAAAGTCCCATTTCTCTTAAACCAGTTCTAGAAAAGTTGCAGCTGGGGCTTTAGCAGAGCTAGAATCAAAGCCAGTGTCCAAAGTTTCTTTTCATGGCGAAGTTGAGTCAGGCACAGCACCAGGCTAATTTTAGTCCTTCAGTCCATTGTGTGTGGGGTCCACATGACTGTGGGCCATGTGGGCTAATGCAAGGGAGCTTGCTCCTTGCAAAAAGAAAGTCAAAAGTGCAGGAGGGAACTCCTTTTGTTCAGGATTTTAAATAGTAAATCTTACGGTGCTCGCAGTGACTATGCCTATTCTAGCCCATGATCTGTTTCCAGATATGGCTGACAGGTAAGCAGCTTCCCACGTCACCCAGATTTGCTGGGCATGTGTCTGTTGTCCAGTCCCTTCCCCCAGTGACCTGTGGCGAACATACTTGCAGAGTGTTCAATTGCAGTTTCCTAGTAAAGCTGTACAAATGGCATGCCTGTGTAATTTAGCCTTCCCTTTGCTCCTTTTCTGTTAAATAACTAATAACTAGGTTAATAATAATGGTATCAGTTAATATTGTTACCAAACAAGAAAGAATAAAATTTTGTCTTTTTCTACTTATTTTTAATCTTCCTTTTGGACTGTAATTACTTTAGAAATACTTTCAACTTTAACCAAATCTTTGCTATAATCTTTGATATAAAAATATAGATTCTATGTATGGATGCATGGAACAGAATAACAGATCTCAGTGGTAGAAAGAGGTGTGGGAGGGAACAGGAAGATATTTACCAAAGAACATACATACATATATGCATATCTCATGGACATAGACAATAGCATGGGGAAGACCTGAGGTGGGATAGAGGATGGGGTTGGGTGGAGGGAGCAAAGGGGGAGAAAATAGGAGACATCTGTAATACTGTCAATAATAAAAATAAAAAATATATAGGTTTTTAAAGAACATTAAGATTGGTTGCCCTATCCAGAAGTAATATTCTGGGAATTTAAGTTAGAGACTAAAAAAGAGAAAAAATATCTGACTAGCACAGTGCCTACCATTTAGAAAGAGCTCAGAAATTGTGAGTTTTAACAACATAGGCCACTAGGAATGAAAGGGTTAATTTACCTCATAGATAATGAAAACTCAAATAGCCAGTGGGATGGACAAATAAAGCCATGGGGTTTTAAAATATATTTGTGACATAGTGTGTCCCATTAACACAGTAGATTATATAAATAAATATTATATTAGTACTGATTATATTTATACTAATTACATTTACATTAATTAAATAACTTAGATCTTTGACAAATTTTGGCCCTGTTTAAATGATAAGATATGAGGGTGAATTGTGGTGGGTTGATTTTTTTTTTCTTTCATTTTCTTCTTACTGCTTGAATATCCTATCTAATAAAAGAGTAATATGCAAATTAACCATCATACACACAAGCCATGCCCACCAGCCAATCAGCGAGTATGCAAATTAATCCCAACCAAGATGGCTGTAGCCACAGAGAGCAGGAGAGAGACTTGCATTTCCCTGGCAATAGAGGAAGCCAAACTTTCCACACACCCTGGTGGGCCCAGGCCTCCATTCAAGGGTAAAATGTTTCAATTATAGAAGGTAAATAAAGTCCAACAGCAATGGCGGCAGTCACAGAGCAGCCACAGAGCGAGCAGGAGGCTTGGCTCCGCTCCAGGCTACAAAGTTTCAATTGTTGAAGATAAATAAACCCCAGATACCAGGGCCTCTGCTTGGGTCACCAGGGGGTGTGGCTGGCCTGCAAATCACTACAGGCCCCTCGCCCAGGCTGCCCCATGCCCCAAGGATACCCCCAACCTGATCCGGGATACCCTTCAGGGCAAACCAGCTAGTCCCCACCCATGCACCAGGCCTGTATCTTATCTAATAAAAGAGTAATATACAGATTGACCATCATTCTAACACACATGATGGCTTCCCCCATGTGGTCAAAGATCCTGTCCACATGTGGACACAAAATGGCTGCCACAAGATGGCCAGCGGGGGAGAGCAGTTGGGAGGGACTAGGCCTGCAAGGGAGGGCAGTTGGGGGCAATTAGACCAGCAGTAGAGGACAGGTTGGGAGGGACCAGGCCTACAGGGGAGGGAAGTTGGGGGCAAACAGTCTGACAGGGGAGCAGTTAGACATCAATCAGGCTGGCAGGGGAGTGGTTAGGGGGTGATCAAGCTGGCAGGCAGAAGCAGTTAGGGGCAATTAGGAAGGCAGGCAGGTGAGCAGTTGGGAGCCAGCAGTCTTGGATTGTGAGAGGGATGTCTGACTGCCAGTTTAGGCCCGATCCCACCAGGATCGGGTCTAAATGGGCAATCAGCCATCCCTTAAGGAGTCCCAGATTGGAGAGGGTGCAGGCTGAGCTGAGGGACACAACCCCCCCACTGTGCACGAATTTCGTTATAATATATAATGTATAATTTCTAGTTTTATTATATTCAATTATACATTAAGAATGGTCGGTCATCACAGGTTTCCATTTTTTTAAAAATTAATGTTGAACATTTTTCACTAGCCCTCATAAATAAAGAATACAGTAATAATGCAGATGGTATGGATGCATAAGTTTTGACCTATATGTTTTCATGTTCAACTACTTCTTTGGTCATATATTTTTAGCATTATTTAACCTTAAAATCTGAGGGTGGTACTAATCTGAGTTTTAGTGCATTTACTAAATTATGAAATCAGATTTGACAATCTTATTTTTTTTTTTTTCCACAGTGGCTTAAAGAATGATTATAACAAAGAAACATTCACCTTGAAGCATAAAATTGATGAGCAGATGTTTCCTTGTCGATTCATCAAAATAGGTAAAATTTTTAGCATTCTGAAGTATAAATAAATTCATAATGCCATCGATCAGCAAACTATGCCTGGCTGAATCCTGTGGGCCCCCTCTCTTTTAATTAAACATTACCACACAGGTTGTTCACATAATGTCTGTGTCTGCTTTTGCACTACCAAGGTAAAGTTCAGTAGTTGCAAGAGACCACATAGCCCACAAAGCCCAAATGTTTCAAACTTTGTAAGAAAAGTTTTCTGACTCCTCCTTTGAAACGCTAACTGACAGTTAAAGTGGAAGTGTTTCCAAATATTTTCTCATTTGAAAGTTTATTAGAAGATTTTATGAGATACAGTGATTTGATTGCCTTGATTGTTTTATTGAAGATTTATAATTTCTAAAGCTATAACATTTTACATTCAAATACTGATGAATTTCTTAAGGCAGTTTATTATATTCTCTATTCTGTTCTTTTGTACAATATTTCATTGTCTTAATGAAATGTTGCTCAAACACATAAAACTAATTTCATGACCTTAAGTAATAAATTGCGGAGTATTGTTTGAAAAGTACTACCAAAGGCATGCATTTATTTACCAAGTGTTTTAGCTTGAGAAAATACTTATAATGCCTCTTCAAAATTAATATCTTTAGGGTTATTTTATTTTCCTTTAAGATTTATTATTCAGAAGGTAGAAAAGTTAAGGACTGGAATATTTTAATTTCTATATATTGCATACCTTTAGAAATATGGTAAAATTGAGATTAAAGTGAATCAGACCCCTCAGAGAATAATAATGAAAGCCAGAATCCCATGTTTTGATTTGGAAGATAATTTCCTCTTTTGGAACAAGCAGTATACTTCATACTCATTCTTTACTATAATATTCTATCAGGAGTTAGCCTGTTTATTTCATTAAGTCAAATAGTACTGTTGTGCAAAAAGAATATCTGAGGTCTTAATAAAGATTGCCTATAAAGGGAAAACTTTTTAAAATAATTGGGCTATCCAGTGTATTGTGGGTTGTTGTTTTGTTTTTTTTAATTATAGTTTCAATTATAATAAATAATTATAAATAAGAACCTGTGTCCTGTTTTCCTGTGAGAATTTATGAACAAGCAAAGTTACTTAAAAAACAAACAAACAACATTTAACTCTTGGTTGTCTCTTCTTTTGTTTATAAATAATTCTTTACATGCAGATCACCCAGTTTTTACAGACTCTTGCAAAGATTTAACACTTCTATAATCTTATATTTCAAATGTAGAAGCAGTGAAAATATCTTATATTTTCATATAATATAAAACTAGAATTTATAGTTTTAAAGTACTTATTTAGCTTCTCTTGCTTATTCAGGCAAAATGAAGTGGGATTTTTTTGTGTGTTTTTTTTTAAGTTCTTTTCTTGATGTTTTTTTGTACCTTTCCTTTGGTCATTAGTTTTCTAGAAAATATATACTGATGCTTCTATAGTTCTTAATCCTCTAGTATCATTATTCATTAGAAGAAGTATCAGTAAAAGTCTTTTTTCCATTGTTGCATAGTTTCTTTTCTTAAAATGTTATGAGAAGACAACTGAGGTTTCTTAGGGACCAATTAGATATTCATCTGCCTAAAGACAAGAATTTGGACCTTATTTCCAGCTCTTTCTCTCAAACTTTTAATTATAGGATATAATGGTGTTTTTTTGTTGTTGTTTTTTTTTACTTTACCCTGGTGGGTTAGTTTTATGGTATTCAGACCAAATTTTAAATGGAGTTTCATCCAAAATTGTAGACACTTAGTAGCTCAGTTGATATTTAGGATAATAATATTTAGGTAACTTCATGTTTCTCACTTTTCTATAAAAAACTGTTAATGGTGGTCTGCAGTACCTTTGCTTTCCAACCTTTTCCCAACATTTTCTTGCTAAGTTTATAAAAGAAAAAATAAGGAAAATCTGAAATTAAAAGCCTGTATGTTAGGTTAGTATTTCTAGTTTCTTGCTATGGTTCCTTTAAAAATTATGTCAATAAAGCACTTGAGTAATGGTTAGCTCTCTTTTGGTGGTGATGCAGCCCCAATATTTGTTTTACCTAGTCGGTATAAATTGTTAAATTTCTCCTTAAAAGAAAAATGTGTTTGAGTACTTCATATTTATGGTCTACTATAATATGTTTGAAAGATCTTGCTTTATTTTTAAAATGTTTATCCTTAAACAAATACAGTTTTAAAAATATAATCATCATTCAGTTAGTCACAGTAAGACTAACTCAATGGCAGATAATTTCCAGATTTGATCATGAATATAGCATCATTAGATTTGGCTTAAATCAAACTTAAGTAAGTCTTAAAAAGTAATTTAAGCTCATATTTATGATAGATTGTTTCAATTTGAATGTATCTTTTTGTGCATTTTTATACTTATATTCAAATAGTTCTGTTTTGCATGATTTCTTAAATGCAATATTTCGGGTACTACAGAAAATGAATATGCACAGATATAATTTGAATCATGTCATTTCAGCATTTATTATTTAGAGCTTCTTATGCTTTATGTATTTTTATAGTATGTAAGTACTTTCAATGTGGTATCTTATTTGAACATTATACTGACAGATAAAATTTTTCCTTTTATGATTGAGGATATTAACAATGGACCAAAGACATAGCATCTAGTATATGCTTACATATGTGCTTATATTGTTTTAAAGTAATAATAATAGTAGGTAATTGTTTATGAAGCATCCACCTAACACTGGGTGAGATAGGCATTATTACACTCCCTTTACAGATGAGAAAAGTGAAGTTTAGAGGTTAAATAGCTGAACCAAAACCACACAGGTAGTAAAAAGTAGAGGTGGGATTAAAACTTAAGTCTACAGCCAAAGATTGAATTCTCTTACTGTGTGATATATGTAGGTTTTGTTTCCTCAGGTAGATTGTGAAATATTTGGGGATAGTGACCCTGTATTCTGTTTCCTCAAATTTCAAAAGCACCAAGCAAACTGCTTGCCTCATTAGTGACATTGTATATACACTTTTTGAGTTTATTGTACAGGAGTTTAGAAGAACTAATCAATGGTTTTATGAATTTGATGGAAGAAAAGTTGCATCTTTATCTTCTCTAACCTTAAATATATTTAACATTTCTTCTAATTATGAATATAGGCAATAATTCATAGTAATATTAGTAATAATTCATAGTAATATTGTGACATGTCACAGATAGAAGTTACAGATTTTCCCCATCACTTTATATCATGGCAAATATAATAACTTTGAATTTGTAATTATTGGACAGGCCTCTAGATCTTGTTATCTAATGTATCAGTAAAAAAGCATATAATATCTTTATATATATTATATCTTTATAATATTTATATTATATCTTTATAATTTTTTTTTAGTTGATTTTAGAGTGGAGAGGGAGGGGGAGGAGAGAGAGAGAGAAAGACATTGATGTGAGAGAGAAATATTGATTGGTTGCCCCACAAATGTGCCCTAATGAGGATCAAATCCACAACCTGGGCATGTGCCCTGGCCAAGCGGGAATCCGACCTACCACCTTTCAGTGAACAGGATGATGCTCTAACCAGCTGAGCCACCTGAACAGAGCAAGCATATACACTGAGTGGGCAGATTATTATGATCCCTGAACATATAATAATCTGGTCACTCAGTATGTATATGTATATATATGAGGCCCGGATCATAACTTATTGCATGAGTGGGGCCAGGGGGAGGGGACATAGGCGGTTGGCCAAGCTGCCTGCTGGTCACACTACTGGTCGAGGGGACAATTTGCATATTAGCCTTTTATTATACAAGATATATACTGAGTGGCCAGATTATAATGCATTCAGAGATCATAATAATCTGGCCTCTCAGTGTGTATTTTCTATATTATAATTTTGTTTATTGTTTTTATAACTATATTTCAATACAATTGCTTTACTCTATATTCCCATGTATTTCCCTTCATGTATTTAAATCTGAGGGATGTTGGGTTATAGGGCTCACCGAACAACCAAAGGGATATTCATGGCACAAAAAAGGCAAAGAGTTCATTCAGGACTTATTGTGCAAGTTGAGAGTTGGCCTTAGGAAGAAGCTAGATTTCAGTAAGGCCTGTAACTAAAAGGAGAAGCTCGTAAAGAATGGGAGTTATTTGGGACCCCAGATTTGAGAGAGCAAGTTAAAAATTCAGAACGGAAAACTTCCTCAATGGGAAATGAGAAAACATAAAGTGGAATCGGATGAGGGTATTGGTTATAGAGAACTAGAAGAGCTCACATCCTGATTCATAGATAAGATAACAGCTACGTGAAGAAATTGATAAGGTGAGGTGGGGGCAAAGAAGGTACTTGGGAGAATTCAGAAAGATTCTGGGGGAGTCCTGGTTTTTGGCAGAGAGGATGACTTAGATTTCTGTGGAATTCTGGGATTTTTTGTGTGGCCTGGATGGTTATGTTGCTTTAGGGAGAAGCTTCAGCTCTGGCTGGATTTGGCCTGCATTCTTCATTCTCAGGAGTATTTAGAAATCTAGGATGGAGTACTAAGTCTGGTGATGGGGAGGTACCCTGATGGGGAGGTACCCTGCCCTTCATGAGAACATGTGGAAAGGCAACATTTTAAAAGTATACTATTAAAAGGGAAATTAATGTAGTAATAATAGCTAATAATAGGAATAGTAGCTATCTTTCATTGAGCACTTACTATGTGCCAGTTACTGTGCTAAGTGCTTTGTATGCTCATCTGGTTGATTCTTTCAGAATGGTTAAACTTGAATTTTTAGGTACTTCCAGAGCCTGATCTTAAAGTTACTAGCATCTTGTAATAGTTATTTTAGCCATCTAGACAAGAGTTTTCCAAGTGATACTATCCAAGTACATTGTGCCACAGATATGTTTAATTGTGTTGAGATGTTGACTCCCTACTCACTTATTCTTGGAGTAATTGAGTCTGCAACCTAGTACCTACCCTTGTGTGCCTTTAAAATATTATCATTTTCTCTGCATGCCATCATGAAAAAGGATGAGAAGTACT